CTGGTGCCACAGTAGGATCTTACTCTTCATCAGCTGGGTTTGTCTCTGCTTTGCCAGCCTTGTTTTTCCGGGCTTCCATTAAAAACTCATATCTCACCAAGCAGTGTATAGATGATTTTCCAATGGTCTTCGCTATTATCGTCCATCGTTTTGGCATGAGTTTGGCCAGATATAAAAGTTTTTCATCTGCCTCTCGGGACCATTCTGTAAGTCATTGACATAAATGAGAAACAACACCGGTCCCAAAACGGAACCTTGTGGAACCCCACTGTCAATGAAACGTTCCTCTGATGAAATTCCATCCAATAGAACATTCTGCCACCGATGAGAAAGGTACGTCTCAAACCGAAGTAATGCCGATCCTCTAAACCCGTAAACTTCCAGTTTGCGAAGAAGCAGCATGTGGTCTACACAATCGAAGGCTTTGGTTAGGTCACAAAACATGGCCGCCGCAGATTCTCTGTCATTAAGATTGATGTTATCTTTGTGCTTTTTGTGCATTAGGCAGACTGTTTCTAAAATAAAAAGGCAGTGGATTGTTAAGATGTGATGAGTTGAAAAAAGGGGCTTACAGTAATCTTGGACTCTGGTAATGAATCTCACTGCACTTTTTTGAATTGTGAAAACTAGACTCGTTAAGTTTCGACAGCTGCTCCTCCAGAAACAAACTCCGTACCGCAAGTGGGAGTCGAAAAGTGCAAAGTATGCTTTTCTGGCAGAGTGATAGTCCAAACAGTTAGAGATAGATCTTATCGCATAACAACTTGATGATGATTTTTTGCATAGTATACTAATATGCGTTCCAAATTTTAAATATTAGTCTTTGATATTTTTCACATATAGTCAGTGGGCATACTTGAAGACTGGCTATAAACGGACGAATNTGATATATTGAAAGATAATAAATTGGCATCACACCACTGTTAAACTTTGTCTATATCATGCTCTACCCTAATTTTTAGTGCAACAGTGGTTCGTCCATGCCAAAGTATCGTCAGCAAAACTTGAGAATTTGCCTTTAATCGATATATGTGCCAGATCAAATAGCACTTATACATAAAAAATTGTGAGTACGTTAATGCTAAAAAGTGTCAAACTTTATTATGGTTTCAATAGGTAAAAGGTGATTTACCTATTGACATTAGTGTTGCCAGTTCCCGAAATATAAATAGTCGCCCAAGTTTCAATTCTTGTTATTTCACTGTTGTCTGCAATGTGTATCCTGTTAACACTTCTCTGGAATCAGTCCATATTTAATAATGATCAGGCAATATGTTCATATGCCATTTTCATATCTGTTCTGCCGCCAAGTGGGTTATAAACAATAAGCCCCTTTCAACAACATTTCAAACCGTGCCGCTTATTAATTTTTTTCTACTTAATCAATCCACGCATCGCTGCTTTTTCGTCTGCCTCAATCTCGGACGTGACACCACAAAAAAAACTATCAGTTGCATTTCTATTTCGCAGTTGAACCGCGAAGGGTCACGAATTGAGTAACACGCTATTCTCTGTCCTCGAGTCGATCTCGGTTTATCTTAATTGAGTTTTGAATCAAGTTTTCAGCTAATTAATCCGGCCAGGCTTTCTAATGCCCTCTCTGATAGTTGGTCATTCCATGACCTGCATTTGTAGCGTTCATTTCGAATGTGCATATGGTTCTATATACAGAGTGGTCTGAATTTCTGGCAAAAACATAACAATCTACACTGATAGTAGACAAGCCCTATTAGCTTCGAACAGACAACGTATTACTTAAAGGGCTAGTACTAGAGTGCCACCAAGATTTAGCCTCGGTAGATAATAAAAGGGGCTTGTTTCATGCTATGGAAAATTATTTGGTTTGCTTATAGACTGATCGAGTTAGGGGTATATTAAACTTATCAAGCCTAATCGGTCCCAAAATATCTTTATACAGGGTGTTCCTTAAACACATGCTAATATTTAAGGAGGTAATTCTTAGACCCA